ATCTCTCTCCTCCTCAAGCCTTTTGTTGCTTTGTTGTTCTTTGTTGTTTGTATTTTTATATCGTTATACAGTTATTGTTTTAATATATTTTTAAGTTTAATTCTGTTTTAAGGGGTGTGGGAGGCATGTGGGAGGAGGGAGTGGGATATTGGATTGTTTTTAACTATTGTATTTTAACTGCTGTAAGCTGCCCCGATTGCGAAGCAGAGGGGCGGGTTAAAAATAAAACTTATTATTATTATTATTATTACTTGCCCACAGTCACACAGTAGGTTTCATGGCTGAACAGAGAATCAAATGCAGTCACAGTCCAACACTCAAACTGTTATGGCATGCTGTCTCTCTTAAACAATTGACAAATGAGAGATCTCTTCTTTGTCTTTGCTCACCATTGGTACTGGATACCTGGATGATCATGCCTTCATTTTCAAAATGTACAGTATTCCAAAATATTTGCTTTTCTAGAATGTGCTCCCACTCACATCCAGAGTGGGAAAAGAAAATGCATGTAATCAAAACAAGGACCCTGTCTACATGAGCCAGAATACTCCAGGCACAGCCCAGAGTATGGAGCTTATTACACTCTTTAAGAAGCTATCTTTGCCTTTTCCAGGTTCAGTCTTCATCTGGGATACACCCAGATGTTATCACATGGGGCATTGCCTTAAATCACTGCGGAATCTGCCACCCAAATCCAGACTGGGTAAACTGTGGGTTGAAGCTGTGCTCAGCCGACTGACTTTCGAAGTCAGAAGCTTCTGACTTTGAAAATCAGCCAACTGAGCATGGCTTTGACCTGTGGTTTACCCAGCCTAGATTTGGGCAGCGTATTCCGCAGCGATTTAAGGAGATGCCTCATGCAATAATGTCTAGGTGTATCCTAGATGAAGATTGAACCCGGAAAAGACAGATTTTTTAAGAGTGTGATAAGCTCCTATTTTGGCTTCAGAGCTTCCCTGATGTCCCCTGTTCCCTGGCACTCCACTTGTGGCATCCAGTGGACACCACTTCCATGTGTCGCTCCCTCGATCATATGGCTGGGTGCCTCATTCTGATCTCAAAGTGAGCAACTCACCATGGTGGCAGCTGCAATGGGTGGCACAGTGGGACACATTGTAAACAGCTGAGAAGATCTAGAACAAAAGATGAGTTTTTAAAATACGGGGGCATACCCTGGTTTTGATGCTGAATGGGCTAGACATCATCAGGACTGTTTGAACCAAAACTGGGGTTTGGACCATGTATCATCCAGACTTCCCACTGAGAGGATGTGGGAGGATGTGTATTTTGCCCGTGCAGACAGGACTTATTAAAACTGACCTCCAGAAAAAACAGAGCTTTTTTTTCCTGCAATTTATCTTGAAATAAAAAGAACCCAGCCTTTAGGCAAGAATCAAATAGTTCTGTTTGTGCTGGGAATTGCTCTGAATGTTCAATAAAAAGGAGAACATTGTCTGGTTGTTTTAACCCCTGCATCTCAGAACTTTAGCAACAGATAGAGCAGCAAAGAGGAATATTTCCTCTGCCTGTTTTCCCCCTAAGACACACCCACCCAATTACCATACTATTCATCAAGATGAATTGGTGAGCATTTGGTCAAGGGGTGGAGGTTGATGAAAATTAATAAGAAATTGGGGAGAAACTTACCATTTGTAGCAGTTTCAGTCATAACTTGTTCCTCAATTTTTTAGAGAGCCGCTTTCCCTCTCCTCCTTCCCCCCAGAATGTTATGGATGCAGTTTGTTTTAATACATTCTGGAAGTATGGAAAACAGTGACCAACAGCTGGCAGCTATTACAGCTGTCTTTAAAATTCCTTCAAAAGATGGAGGAAAGATTAGTATGTAGGTGGTGCCTCAGACAGTACCACAGAATCTTAAAATTTAGAATCATAGAAGTTTATCACAAGGGGAAAATTGGACGTTTAAACAGTTCAGAACCTGAAGTTATCCAGCATGTTAGACACAATTGTGTGAATGCTTTTCACACGACGTTGTGCACAAACCGCTTGGAATCTGACAGGAAAGTGATATGAACCAGCAAATAGGCATTTTCAGGAAAGTACAGTCAATTCATTTCTGTTTCATTCACGGATTTGCTTTTATTGTGCAATTGCTCTAGTGTGAAAGCCATTTGCGTGATTCTCCCCATTTCTGTACTTGTTGACAGATTTCCCCTGGTTCTTTGGGGCGAGTAGCCAGGGCTCTTAAGGAAACAGTTGCTGAGGCAAAGGCAGGGACACAGGGAAAAAGCTTGCTTCTCCCTCTGTGTGAATGTCTCTTTCCCATTAGCTGGGACTCTTAAAGGAACAAACACTCAGGGAAGACGGGGACACTGGTTGCCAAGAGGGACATAGACTTTTATGCTGTTTTTCTACCTTTCCTACTTCTTTGGGTAATGTTTTGTTCTTTTTTACCTAGGCTGGATACCATTTCTTGGAAAGTAAGGGATGGTACAGTATATTTTTAATAAAGAAAATTGTGTAAATAAAATTGTTTATATCTCTGGGTGATTTCTGGTGACGCAACTACTTCTTCTGTGTGCATGTACAAAAAAAGTGATTTCCAAAACACTATCGGGAAAACCAAATGCACGTTCTACCCTCTTTCTCACTTTAGTAATGAGTTTCTAATGCATCATTGTGTTCTGCATGTGAAAATCATTCATTCATTGCATGCTTTTGCAGGTTGAAGCAACTTTAATCATTATCAGAATGCAGGTACATATGGTCCCCATGTGATAAACTCCATAGTTGGAATGGACTGAATAATTATCTAGTCCAATTCTCTGCCTAGCAGGAATCTGCAAATAAAACGCTCTGGAGAGGTGGGTATTGCTGCCGCACTTTAAAACTTCTGCCCAACATTTTTTAAGACCATCTATTCCACTGCTGACAATTGTTGTTGTTATTGTTGTTGTTATGTTTCTTCAAGTCATTTCTGACTTATGGCCACCCTAAGGTTTTCTTGGCATAATTTGTGCAGAGGAGGTTTGCCATTGTCATCTCCTGAGGGTGAGAGTATGTGACTTGCCCAAGGTCACCCAATGGGTTTCATGGCTGAGCTGGAAATCAAATCCTGGGCTTCAGAGATGTAGGCCAATACTCCAACCACTATGCCATGCCAGCTCTCCATGTGGAGTCCCTTGTTATACAACTTGAATACATTGGTTCATGGCTATGGGGTCATCTACATGATGACCAATAAAATAAAATAATCTCACCCTGAAGTCACAATGCAGGGCCAAATCTTCAATTCAATGCAGACTGCCTTCACAATGTGAGACCAGTTCCATACTGAACCTGGCTCATCCCTCCCTTAAACCGGGTTTTTAAGTGTTGATCATATGGCTGGGCACCTTATTGTGATTTCAGCCTATAGTCTCTGGAGCAGCAGAAGAAAAGCTTACTCCATCTTTTACATGACATCCTTTCTAATATTTAAATATGATTGTCATGTCACTTCTCAAAATTCTTTTATCCAAGCTAAACATAACCAGCTGCCTGAGATATTCCTCATAGGACTTGGGGGGGAAGCAGACGAGGGCGTCTGGG